TTTTCTCTCAGGACCTATTTTGGTACGTAGTGGCGGCATTATTGGCACATAAATGGAGCACCCAAACACCTGTAAATGCGAGATGTTAGGCTCATATCCAGTAACCAAGTATAACGGTGAATGTGGTTGGGTAGCGGTCGGACTCAGGCAAACCAACATAGCTAGTTGCAATATTGCATAGCCTTAGCTAGATATAGGCATTTTGGTTTGCAAAACCAAAGTCTGAGCTAGCAATTGAAGGTGCTTTATGAAAGCTTCTGCTAGGCCATTTTGGGTGTGAACATGAGGTACATAAATGTTCCACTTCAACCCTTGCTAACATGCAATAATCGTCAAAGGTCTGTGACGCAAACTCTCCAGCGTTATCCAATCGAATCAACTTGATTGGATAATTAGGGTGGTGAGCCCTTAGCTTAATAATTTGTGTTAGAAGTTTAGCAAATGCAACATTGTGTGTGAACAATAAGCAAACATGTGACCATCATGTCGATGCATCAACCAACACCATAAAGTATCTAAATAGTCCATAGGTTGGTTAGATAGGTCCACAAATGTCCCTTTGAATCTTGTGAAGAAACTTAAGAGGGTCGTGAATAATCTTTGTAATCAACTTCCCCAAAGAACACGCTTTACATGGCGGGAATCCAATGCAGGGAGGTAATTGATGCCCATGTGATGATTTGAGGATATGACGCATCATGTCACGTCCAAGATGTCCTAAACGGTCATGCCAAAGCAACAAAGTTCTCTAGAACTCAGGCATAGGGTCGTCCACATGATGGGCTTCTATGCCGTGAATGGTTGTAATGTATAACCCACTTGGGAGACATTCCAACTTCTCGTGAATACGTTTCTGGCCATATTTGTAAGAAGTGATACAAAGAAATTTAGAATCATTATCTTTAGTGGTTTCAATATGATATTAATTATCTCGAATATCTCTAAAACTCAGCAACGTTCTTCTCGAAAGTGGAGAATAGAAGGCCTCTTTAAAGGTTAAGATTGTACCATTGGACAACATGATACATGTCTTTCCGTATCCTTCAATCAGGTTGGATGCGCCTGAGAGAGTTGTCAAAGGTGCTTTGTTGGGTATTAAGTTAGTAAAATAGTGTCGTTCACTCAGGAATTATTGAGCAACTAGATCCATTAATCAACATTGTTGCTGATTAAAGAAGTCTACCAACTTATAGACTGATGAGCCACGTGCTCATGGTGATCTCTTGTCTGACCGGACACCCACTTGCTTATCACCAACCAGATGATCAAAAGTACGTCCAGTACTCCAAAATTATTCGGCAGCCTGCCACTATTATCACCAACTAGGTGATCAAAAGTACGTACAATACTCCAAAATTATTTAGCAGCCTGCCGTTATTATCACCAACCAGGTGATCAAAAGTACAACCCGCCCTCCAAAAAATCATACATGAGCATCACTCATGATAATCACCATCATACATGAGCATCACTCATGTCAATCATACATAAACATTCATGAGCATCACTCATGTCAACATTCATAAGCATCAATCATGTCAATATCCATGAGCATCACTCATGTCAATCAACATAAACATTCATGAGCATCACTCCTGTCAATTAGCTTCGAAAGCTTCATTTACAGAACTCTAGCTTCGAAAGCTTCATTTATAGAGCTTTAGCTTCGAAAGCTTCATTTACATAGCTCTAGCTTCAAAAGCTTCATTTATAGAGCTCCAGCTTCGAAAGCTTCATTTACAAAGCTCCAGCTTCGAAAGCTTCATTTACAAAACTCCGACTTCAAAGCTTCATTTACAAAAGCTCCAGCTTCAAAGCTTCACTTTCAAAGCTTCACCTACAAAGCTTCAGTGCATGGTATACAAAGACTGCCTCCGAACAACCGCCACTTCGACCCATACATGGATTGAATTTGAAGTCTCCAGCCAATAAACTCTATTGACTGAAGACTTGGGGGACTACACTATGTACCATATATTAGGCTTCCACAACTGAGCCTCATGAAAAATACTTGGGGGACTTAGCCCATTATTTATGTATTGAGGAGCGAACCCTTATTCTATAAAAGGGACTCCCTCACTTTCATTAGAGAGAACCCATTATTCATGTATTGAGGAGTGAACCATTATTTTATAAAATGGACACCCTCACCGTCATTAGAGAGAGACTCTTAGCCCATCATTTATGTATTGAGAATGGAGCTCTTATTCTATAAAAAAGGATTCCCTCACCATCATTAGAGAGCATCACCACCCGCTGAGCAACCGCCTCGCTGCGAGCATCAACTCTAGCCCATCATTTGTTTTTGGATCATAGTATCAACGTAATATTTTGCCTCGTAAAGTGGAAAAACATGGACAAGAGTTGGTTGACAATGCCTCAAAATTTTGAAGCGTATGCAGCAGGAATTAATTTGTTTTTGGATCAAACGGTTACAAATGGTGTCGGCCTCAATAAGTTTAGATGTCCTTGCAAAAGACGTTGTAATCGATATTGGTGAGCTTGGAGAGCAAAATGTGGCAATTGGAGAAGAAGAAACAAGAGATGAGGTGACTAGTATGCATGATTTTCTTAATGATGTATTTGTCCAACCATTAACAGAAGAAGGTGTTAGGCCGTCTACTGAACCCCCTATTGGGGAAGTGCAGCCAGAAAAGGTTGAGACTTTTTTTAGGTTGCTTAAACAAGTAGATCAAGATTTGTGACCAGGTTGTAAGGAGTTTAAGAAATTGGAAGCGGTTCTAAGACAGTATCAGATCAAGTGTTTAGTGAGAATGCCAAACGGGATCTTCACCACTTTACTCGAGTTAATTAAAAGAATGTTGCCTGAAGGGGATTATTTGCCTGATTCTTGTTATAAGGCAAAAAAAACTTATAAATGACTTGGGTATGACATATGTGAAGATTGATACATGTCCTAATGATTGCATGATCTATTGGAAATACACTTTCGGAGCTAAATGTGTGCTCGGTTTGTGATAAATCAGATATAAAATTACCAACGCAAATGATAGCTCGAGGAAAAAAAATCGTAACTAAGGTTATGTGGTATTTTCCTTTAAAAGTGTGATTGCAAAGGTTTTTTTTTTATGTCGAAACATACAGCTAAACATATGAGGTGGCACGCAACTAAATGTCTTAAGGATGAGTTTATGAGGCATCTTTCAGATTCTCTAACATGTAAGCATTTGGATAATTTACATCCAGAGTTTGTGTCAAAAATTCGAAATGTCCGACTAGGGCTTGCCAGTGATGGATTTAATCCTTTTGGGAAAAATGAGGCATGATCATAGCACATGGCCTGTGGTGCTTTCTGTTTACAATTTGCCACCCTGAATGTGTATGAAGCAACCGAATTTGTTGTTGTCTCTGTTAATACCAGGACCATGCAGTCCTGGTAAAGAGATTGATGTGTACATGCATCCATTGATTGACGAGTTGAATGAGTTGTGGGAAGTGGGCACTCCCACCTATGTTGCGTATTTCAACCAAAATTTTATGATGAAGGCTGCCGTCTTATGGACCATAAGTGATTTTCCGGTTTATGGAATGTTGTCAGGATGGAGTACACATGGCTATAAAGCCTGTCCACATTGCATACATGATACTTGTCGGCGAGTCGTAAGATTTGTTATTTTGGGCATCAATGCTTTCTTGCAGATAATCATAGGTTTCGAAGGCAAATCACTACTTTTAATGGTCGGCGAGAGCATCGTAGTGCACCAAGGCAGTTGACTGGTTTACAATGTCCTGAAGAACTTTCAACATTGAGATTTACTTTTGGAAAGCCAAACAAAGTTGCTTCAGTTGGGCAACGAAGAAGAAGAACTTCAAGCCGTAGAAGTAGTAATAGTTAGTAGAAGAAGAAATCTATTTTTTATGAACTACCTTATTGAAGGCATCTGTTGATTAGACACAATCTTGATATTATGCATATCGAGAAGAATATATGTGACACAATGGTGGGAACATTACTAGATATAGAAAAGTCTAAAGATGGATTGACTGCACTTGCAGATGTTGAAGTCTTGAACATAAGACGTAGTCAACACCCACGTAGAGAACGAAATAGAACATTTCGACATCCAGCATTGTTCATGTTGAAAAAAGAAGAAAAAACTGCATTTTGCAAAGTGTTGTCTACTATTCGGGTCCCCGATGGATATTCATCAAATTTGTCGCGATGTGTACATGTGAATGAACAAAAAATACATGGGTTGAAAAGTCACAATTGCCATGTTTTAATGCAGTAGTTTCTCCTACTTGCAATACGTCCAGTTTTGCCTAAAGCTGTTACTATGGTATTTGTTTGTACCATATTTAGAGCCTCCGTATTTAGACCTCGTATAAATACTCGGGGGACTCAAATGTAATTATGTAATAAATGAAAGGGCAAATATGTAATAAGTGAGGAGCGCTTATTCTATAAAAGGATTCCTCACTCTCCTCATTAGGGCAGGTGAAGGTTTAGGCCATAAGAAGAGAGAAAACATCTCAGAGAGGGCAAACACAGAACATAGGCTAAAGAGCACACTGCCTCTAGACTTCTTGTATATTCACCAATCAGAGTGAAACAATATCAACATCAGTGTGGACGTAACCCAAACATTGGGGTGAACCACGATACATCTTGTGTTCTTTACTTTCTTGCAGATTCATGGTCGGATTTACGTTGTTCCAATACCTCCCAGTTTTGTGCATCAACATTTGGCGCCGTCTGTGGGAATCGATACGAAAAGCTATGTCGGCTCTCTTTCATTTTTTCATCTCACCACTGTGAAACCTCACCACAATATCCCCCGTGAATCTGCACAACCCGAGATCGTACTCAATCTGCAACCAGGGATTTCAGAGAAACCAGAATCTACAGATGCATAGGAGACACCACCAAGCCACCTCAACCGAAACGTCAAGCCCTGGCTCATCTCTCTCTCTCTAACCTTCTTTGCTGCACTTCTTACGCAGTCTTCGATTCCAATTCCCCGACCTCCAATTCTCTGATGGCCACCAACACACAGAAGCTCAATGACCCCATCACCACCTTAGAAGCTCCAAAGAAAACCCTAGAATCCTCCTCAGCCCCACCCACCGCCAAAATTACGGATCGATCGGATAATCCATCCACTGACACTCCCTCCAATCCACCTCTGTCGTCCGAGGTTGACTCCAAAGAAAACAGGTCTAAGGTTGACTCTGATGACCCTAAGACTGACTCTACCACTGGTTACGCAGCTGTTCTGGCTACCGGCATTAAGAAAAATATGCGCTGTGCCGAGCGGTTTGGGATATCCGTGCATCTCACAGAAAAAGAGAAGCGCAACTTTCGCGCTTAGAGGTTTGGTACTGTTACTACATCACACTAATCCGAAGCATCTAAAAAAATAGAGGACTTGAAGAGGAAGGCTAGAGCAAAGAGGTTTAGGCTTCCTGGCCCTACTGTGGTGGGTGATGAGGATGCAAAGAAGATGGCTCGTCTTGCTCGGTTTGCTCCTAATGCTAAACTAGATGCTAAAACTGATCCTCAGGAAGAAGAAAAAAGAAAGGCGAGGTCTCTCAGGTTTTCAAACACCTCATAAATAATGGGCTAAGTCCCCCTCGATCTTGCTTCTGGTAATACGCATAGCAGTTGAGCTGCTTGTCTTGTTTGAGGAAGGATGAGTATGGAGACGGCTACGGTTGTGCCAAGATTGAAGGACCAAAACATGACCCAGGCTCTGCTGACTCTAACCTACTCCTTCTCCCAACTGGGAATAAAAAAAAGGAAGTTTAAAAAAAAAAAAAAAAAAGCAGCCACTGGTGATGTATAAGATGACGAATGGGAAGTCGTGAACAGATTCGCTGAATATGGATCTGGACAACGGTGATCCACTATCCCACTGAAAACCCACCAACTTCTGCAAAAGATAAGATGCTCTCCTTTAATATCTCATCATTATGTTTTCTCAATATCATTGTTTATTTAATATCTTATTATTTTATTTGTGTCATGATAACTAATTATAAAATAATAATTTTATTATTTTTATGTCATGATGACTTATGATTAAATAATATAATTATTATTTCTGATATCACATGATTACTACCACGTTATTGATTTATACAACATGTGATTTATCAAACAACTGAATAAATCATTTATTCATGATTATATATATATACACACACACATTTAGGCAATACCTAATATATTGTTGATTTATGCAGCATGTCATTTATTAAACAACTGAATAAATCATTTATTCATGATTATATATATATATATATACACACACACACACATTTAGGCAATACCTAATATATTGTTGATTTATGCAGCATGTCATTTATCAAACAACTGAATAAATCATTTATTCATGATTATATATATACACACACACATTTAGGCAATACTTAATATATTGTTGATTTATGCAGCATGTCATTTATCAAACAACTGAATAAATCATTTATTCATGATTATATATATATACACACACATTTAGGCAATACCTAATATATTGTTGATTTATGCAACATGTCATTTATCACACAACAAAATAAATCATTTATTCACAAAAGGCACATAATACAATATTTTGCCTTGACAAACTTTGTCTATTTGATTTATTTATTATACGGTCGTACTTATACTGTCATTTATTGTCAGGAATTATTGAGCAACTAGATCCATTAATCAACATTGTTGCTGATTAAAGAAGTCCACCAACTTATAGACTGATGAGCCACGTGCTCATGGTGATCTCTTGTCTGACCGGACACCCACTTGCTTATCATCAACCAGGTGATCAAAAGTACGTCCAGTACTCCAAAATTATTCGGCAGCCTGCCGCTATTATCACCAACTAGGTGATCAAAAGTACGTCCAGTACTCCAAAATTATTCAGCAGCCTGCCGTTATTATCACCAACCAGGTGATCAAAAGTATAACCCGCCATCCAAAAAATCATACATGAGCATCACTCATGATAATCACCATCATACATGAGCATCACTCATGTCAATCATACATAAACATTCATGAGCATCACTCATGTCAACATTCATAAGCATCAATCATGTCAATATCCATGAGCATCACTCATGTCAATCAACATAAACATTCATGAGTATCACTCCTGTCAATTAGCTTCGAAAGCTTCATTTACTGAACTCTAGCTTCGAAAGCTTCATTTATAGAGCTTTAGCTTCGAAAGCTTCATTTACATAGCTCTAGCTTCAAAAGCTTCATTTATAGAGCTCTAGCTTCGAAAGCTTCATTTACAAAGCTCCAGCTTCGAAAGCTTCATTTACAAAACTCCGACTTCAAAGCTTCATTTACAAAAGCTCCAGCTTCAAAGCTTCACTTTCAAAGCTTCACCTACAAAGCTTCAGTGCATGGTATACAAAGACCGCCTCCGAACAACCGCCACTTCGACCCATACATGGATTGAATTTGAAGTCTCCAGCCAATAAACTCTATTGACTGAAGACTTGGGGGACTACACTATGTACCATATATTGGGCTTCCACAACTGAGCCTCATGAAAAATACTTGGGGGACTTAGCCCATTATTTATGTATTGAGGAGCGAACCCTTATTCTATAAAAGGGACTCCCTCACTTTCATTAGAGAGAACCCATTATTCATCTATTGAGGAGTGAACCATTATTTTATAAAATGGACACCCTCACCGTCATTAGAGAGAGACTCTTAGCCCATCATTTATGTATTGAGAAGGGAGCTCTTATTCTATAAAAAGGACTCTTTCACCATCATTAGAGAGCATCACCACCCGCTGAGCAACCGCCTCGCCGCGAGCATCAACTCTAGCCCATCATTTACGTATTGAGGAACGAACCCTTATTCTATAAAAGGTACTCCCTCACCTTCAATGCCACAAGCTGAGCTAACCAAGGCAACATAAGCCACAAGCCGAGCAGCCTCGCAACGTGTGCTACTCCTAATTGAGCATCATTTCACATTGAGCACCGCCTTATATCGAGTATCAGTTCTAGACGACATCTAGTTACTTCGGCCCACACATGGACTGAATTTCAAGTCTCCAGCCAAAAGACTCTCTTGACTGAAGACTTGGGGGACTACTGTTTGTACCATATTTAGGGCCTCCGTATTTAGATCTCGTATAAATACTCGGGGGACTAAAATGTTATTATGTAATAAATGAAGGGGCAAATATGTATAAAAGGACTCCTCACTCTCCTCATTAGGGGAGGTGAAGGTTTAGGCCATGGGAAGAGAGAAAACATCTCAAAGAGGGCACACACAGAAAATAGGCTAGAGAGCACACACAGAAAATAGGCTAGAGAGCACACTGCCTCTAGCCTTTTTGTATATTCACCATTCAGAGTGAAACAATATCAACATCAGTGTGGACGTAGCCCAAACATTGGGGTGAACCACGATACATCTTGTGTTCTTTACTTTCTTGCAGATTCACGGTCGGATTTACGTTGTTCCAAGACCTTCCGGTTTTGTGCATCAACAGTATTATTAAAGTTGAGTTCAATTTTCAAGCAGTTGTGTAGTAAGAAGGAGTCTGAGGAAGGATTCAAGCAATTGAATTCAAGAATTGCCTTGACATTATGTCAACTTGAAACAATATTCCCTTATGCATTTTTTTATATAATGGTGCACTTTCCAGTTCACTTGGTAGATGAAGCAGCTCTTGTAGGCCATGTTCAATATAGATGGATGTATCCAATTAAATGGTAATTAACAAATTTTTATAATTTTTTTACAATTCTAGTCATAACTTTAATTAATAATTATAATAATTTGTGTTTCGTTTTATAATTGTAGGCATTTGCAAACATTGAAGCGCTATATTCGTAATAAGGGTCGTCCTGAAGGTTTTATTGATGAAGCATATTTGGTGGATGAGTGCTTGTCCTTCTATTCCATGTATCTTAGAGATGTCGAGTCTCGTTGCACCCATAGAGGCCGAAATGAAGATGGTATTGGACACTGAATAATACATCCACGTCACTTTGCCAACAAGGGTAGAAATGTCAATTTACACGATTGGGGGAAAATTACATAGAGAATTAGGGACGGGTCATCATAGACGATGCCTCCAACTAATCCTCATGAGGAGCTAGGGCATACATTTGATCTTTGAAGGGAAGGTGATACTTGAAATGATTTGTTAATGGTTTAAGCTCAAGAGCGGGTGCCTAAATCATTAAAAGCAACATGTTAGTAGAAAACAAAATTGAAATTGAGGGTGGTGGCTACCTGTGTGCTGTGGCAAGAACTCAAGGACAAACAATATTTTGAAAGTTTTAGGAATGTTACTCTCAGTCAGATTTGGTTTGAGGGCAGTGGTTTGTCCCGTGTCATTAAATCCAACTTCTTTGGTGATGGTTGTCTCAGTACATCATTTTTCATGAATTCTAGATATTCCCTAGCCACTTCTTTCTCTTGAATCCTTCTACTTGTTGTATAAAGCTCTTTAAAAAAAATTAATTTGCACCTTAGCAAGTGTGGCACTCATCAAGTGATAAACTGGATTTTCATATATTAACATGCCTGTTTGAGTTTACACTCCTAGTTCCAATGATTGACAACCACCACCTAACCAACATGATCATCATCATGATAGCCGTTTCTTCTATTAGTTGAAGTCCTATTTTTTTTAGTTTGTGAACATCCTAGCGGGACTGGGGAAACACATTCTAATTGCTCTGAGTGGGAAAAATAAGTAAGTTGCATTACAAGTCCTACCATTCCGAGTCCTTGTGTGTAGTTTCGGTTGCCTAATCTCATATCATCATTAACTTAATTCTGAGAAGAGTATACATTCGGAGATGAATTATACATGAAAAGGACACTAAAACGCTTGGAAAACACTACCACCAAAGCACTTACGCAAACACTTACAGCTGGATCTACTGTGTATCCAACGGCTGGATCTTGAACATGGACTAAGATGGGACCAAACACTATCTTATCGTATGTCACTCATGGCTGTCCTCTGCCCTCCCAGTCTCTCATCTGTATCCTATCATACAAAGGAGACTTTTAATTTTTTTTTATGAGATCTTCGTCACTTCATGTTTTTGATATAATTCTCGTGTTAATATTGTACAACATCATGCCAAAAACATAAGATGGCACAATGTCCATCAAGGGTCTCACTTTAAGAATTTCTTAAGGGAAGAAGTATTGCCATTGGAACCTAACAAGTACAATATCATTGTGTCAATCAAACCAAGCCTCAACTTCTTCTTTACAAAAACAAACAAAAAATAAAAGTAATAAATATAAACAAAAAGTAAAAGTAATAAATATAAACAAAAAAATAAATGTAATAAATATAAACCAAAAATAAAAAAGAAAGAGTTACCAAGGAGAAACCTAGCTCTCCCAAGTAAAAAACAAATGCATCTCAGTTTTTTGTTTTCTTTCCATTTTCTTGCGATATTTTTTCCAAGGTTTTTCCTTTTGTGGTTGGGGAAATAAAATCCTAGAAAATTAAAAAAGTAAAAAAATGGAAGAGGAAATATTAATTTACAGGCTTGCCACGATTGTAGCCGTAATAAGAAAGGTACCATCTAACAAACTTGTTCAACCCGCTCTGCAAATTGGTTGTGGGCTTGTACCCGAGTTCTCTTCCGGCCGAACTTATATTCGCGTGCGTGAACGGAACGTCGCCGTTTCCAGGCATGTCCACCACCTTTTTCTTTGCCTTCGTCTTCAAATGCCTCTCCAAGATGTTGACAAGTGTCGGCACTGTCACCGGTGATGTGTTCCCCAAATTAAAGATCCGGTACGGCGCCAATCCCCGCTTCTTCCCACCCGACCCGGTACTCTTCCCGGATGTATCCAGCGACCCCAAACAGCCCTTCACGATGTCGTCAATATATGTGAAATCCCTCGCCAAGTCGATCCCGTTCTTGCCCCGGTAAATGGTGATGGGCTTTCCTTGGAGGATGTTGCGGGTGAAAGAAAAATAGGCCATGTCGGGTCGTCCCCAGGGTCCGTACACGGTGAAAAATCTCAAACCGGTAATTGACAGGCCGTAAATATGGTTGTAAGTGTGGGTAATTTCTTCACCGGCTTTCTTGGTGGCGGCATAGAGGCTGGCCGGCTGGTCCGTACGGTGCAATTCGGAGAACGGAACGTTGTCGTTTAAGCCGTAGACAGAGCTGGACGAGGCCCAAACGATGGACGGCTGAGGATTGGCCGATTTGCAGACTTCAAGAAGTGTGACGAGGCCGGCGATATTGCTGTGGACGTAGGAATGAGGGTTTTCCATGGCGTACCGGACGCCGGCTTGAGCCGCCAAGTGCATCACGTGGGTGAACGCCACCGTGTCGAATAACTTGTCGAGGAGGCGGTTGTCGTTTATGTCGCCCTCGACGATGAAAATGTCGTGGGTCTTGAGGAGCGACCTGCGAGCTTCCTTCAACGACGGGTCGTAGTAGCTGTTGAAGTTGTCAATTCCGACGACGCCGTCTCCGCGCTTTTTGAGGGCTAGAGAGACGTGGCTCCCGACGAATCCGGCGGCGCCGGTGATGAGGACGGACATGCCGCCGGAGCGGTGGATCTGGGCAGAGTTGCGAACCTGCTTCTCCCACTGGATGCCACCCCAGGAGGCGGAGAAGTAGCGGCTGCTGGAGTCAATGAAGCTCTGAAAACTCAAATACGACGCGGTCAAGGCGATGAGAAATAGGGCCCACAAGAACATGGTGCTTGTCGAGGCGAAGCAGCGGTGGAACTGGCGGTTCATGGCGTGGCTCCGCTCGATTTTGAACTTGCCGGGCGTCGAGGGGAACAACTCATCTTCCAATGAAGACGACATATCTTGGATTGTTGAGAAAATTTCTCGCCTTTTATTTTCTGGGTTCCTCTCTAATTTCTCTTTTTCTTTGTTTATCCAAAAAAAATGAAATAATTTCTTCCGTGGGATTGGATTTAAGAAAAATTGGGGGTTTTTTAATGATTTGGAAAGAAAGAGAGGGGGTAAAGGAGAGGATCGAAGAAGAAAGATGCAAGTGCAGATTTGTTTTCTGGGTGATTAAAATCTCGGCACCTGCTATTAGTGGGATGGCGATGGAGGGTTATATACAGTGGTCACCCACATTGACACATGACAGGGCATGTACGCGTGATTCGTGAACGCGCTCATAGGGTTGTTTAATGCTTTGGCTTCGCAAGTTAAAGTTTTTATTCGAATTTAATAATATCTAATATTTGTTTTAGAAATAGAAAACAAAAACAAAAAAAAAGAGGGTATTTTCGTCCTAAACGCAAGTAAATGGACTAATTATAGTATGTAAAGAAGATTCGGAGGATGTTGTTTGTTTGTTTGTTTGTTTCCTTAATTAACCAACTACAACTAGAACAACTAGAAGGAGTGGATTAGTTATGGCATTAAGCAATTATGAACTACTTTAATTTTATTTTTCTGTTTCTTTTGGGTATTTTTGAAATTAGAGTAGGTATGCTCACCAACATATCAATAATTGTTTTAGAATTTGTAATCAATTTGAAGTATTTGATGTGATGACTTGCTGTGATATGAAGCAATGTGATTTAGGAGAAGTAAATATGCCAACATTGTTTGGCAAACTTCACATTGGTGTGCGGGACTAATATTCTACTCATCGTCCTCCATGGCATTGATTATACTTGAATTTCAGTTTAATATCATTGTTCTACTCTTTTAAAACGCACTCCAAGTCATAATTTTGATTATGGAGGTTTTAAAGTAGATCTGCAAATCAATATAGTTGGGAAATTTTTATTACCATTCTAAAAAAGTCTTACATTAAAGATATTGGGTATCTATTTTCAAGTCCAATTTCCAAACCTAAATGTTTTAAAAGCCGAACTTCAAGCCCATGTTAACAGATATTTTTCGGTACACGAGGTGATACATCATTTGTTACTATACAAATTGTAGGAATTATATGTTAAAAATTTATTAACTTAAAAAATATAATTTATCACTACTTACATAAAAACACATGGTGTACCAAACGTATTTCCTTCAATGAAAATTTTGGAGTATGAAATGTGGTTTTTGAATGTCTAGTATTATCTAATTTCTCATTTGTGTGCTAATTTTTTAGATCTGAATTATACGTTAAAGAAAAGATCTGGAATGATAATATCACATTAATCTGATTCGGGTTGAAATTTCTTTCAACTTGTTTTGATTATATTTAATTTGGATTGCATGCTGCCATTGGAGATCTAACTTCTAGTTTGTCTTTATGTAGGTATTCTACATGAGCATGGACGTTGGGATATAGGCAACCGTAAAAATATAGACAAGGGAATGCAAGTATAATATGGTCCGCCTATGATTTGAAGGATTGGTTGTCCAGTGACTGGCGTGTCAGCTCGTGCCATTGCATGACAGCTTCGACCGACGCGTGGTGGCAGTGGCGGTGCGTTACCGTCCGTGGCGGTGCACGAGTCACTTCTCAAAACACTTTTAACTTCCGAGTTGAGCAAACAAAGGGAGTTTTCGGTATTTTCCTTAGTATTGGTTAGTATAGTTTTTTCTCAAATAGGAGAAACTATCCGACAGATTTTCCTAGGCAAGTAAGGCAAGGAGGCCACAATCCTGAGACGTACCAGTGAATGAGTCTTTGCTTTCAAATATTATATGTTATAGTTTTATAAATTTCTTGTGATTATTTGACTTGCCATGTTTTGAATTAGGAAAAAAAAAAAAAAATTAATGAAAATGGTTTGAAAAGTTTTAGTTTTAATCAAAAATCATGTTATAAGTTTTGTTTAATGATTAGTACAAGGCCTATATTAAAGTAGTCCAACTAAAAATTGTCTAACTATAATAAATTATGATTTGTTAATTTTATCCCTAACTTTTTTAGGTTGAGTTCTAGATTTTCATCGTTAATGGAGTTCATCATTGTTTTGTAGACCTTCTTCTTTTTCTTTGAAACAAAAATATAGATCATCATGCTATTTAATTTATATTTTGTATTATTTTGTTGAAACGTGATCGTCATTATTATTCATAAAGTATTCGAGGTATTGTTTTTTAATTTTTCTTCGTTAATGAAGTTCATCATTTGTTTCTCCAGAAAATAAATTTGAGATCTGAATGTTATTCAATAATAACGACGGGTCACTGTTTCTAGACTGTAAAAATAAACTGTTTTTGGATTTTAAGTAACACTGTTTCTAGAATCTAAGTCACTGTTTTTGGATCCAAATGAAATAGACACACTGTTTCTTAAATATAAGCTAGAAAAGAAATAGTGAAATTCATTGTATTTGGATTCAAAGCAAATATCATGTTTCTTAAATATAATCAACTGATGCATGAAAGAAAAGAAATAATCAAAGGTTAAAACATAGACAGTTTATGGAATCTAAGTCACTGTTTCTGGATTTTGGTTATTTTCTTTCCAGATACAGTGTTTGTTTGTGCACAGAAAAAACAAACATTGTATCTGATTTTTTTTTTCCAGAAAAAGTGTTATGTTTTTTGTTTCCAGAAACCGTTTTATGTTTTGGTTTCTTTTTTTTCCCTATTTACAAATGGCTTGCATGTACGTACATCACCAGGACCGTAGGTCCTTATTGGATCTGATTGGAATAAAATACTAACACTATAAATTGTTCGTGGTGCAAATAAGAGGATGAGGATGAGGACGATGACAAGGAAGAGGAGGATAATGCCACAAAAAAGGTAGACAATAGTTTTGGATAGTTTTTTATTAAACTTTGAGTCCTTTTGGTTAAATAACATTTTAAGATGGTTTTTGGTTGAATATTTGCTAGCCCAAGCCCTTTTCATTAAAGCTCTAAAAAATAAATGCTTACACTTTATTATTTTATTATTATTTTGGGAGTACAAACTGTGACATGTTGATGTTTCATTTATTTGTACGGTCTGGACCAAGATCAGCTTTGTGTGTATGTTCACATGCATCGTTACGTTCACTTTGGATTCAAGGTAGGTGTCATCAAGTCCCTAGATTGCACTAGGAAAGGAGGATCCTTATGTGAGTGCTTAGCGCCAACTACACATGATTGTAGTACTAGAACGTGACTTATACACCCAGTCTGTTCATGTAGCCTAAAGTCAATCATGAGATGATACTTTACGGATATTTCATATATTAATTTAGTTTAATCTAAGGGCAAAGACTATTGTTAAAAGCCATCTAATTAAATGTTATATGTTTTAACAATAAGTTCAAGGATATGTAACTAAGAGAATGTAATCCAAAGATTCATAAGACCTTTCTATTTCATACACATATCCTAAACGTTCCTGATCATAAGTCTGCCAATTGGGCATTGAGAGTCCAGATAGATCAGTACGTACCATGTCTTCTCCTATAGGGTAACTGATCTTGAGTCATTAGTGTGAACAGCATCAAAACAAGTATGTACTTGCTCAATAGATAGTGAGTATATTGAACGCGATTAACCAAGAGTTGTCATACTCATGTCATATGAGAACTCACTAGTTAGGGTAATGAAAAGTAGTCATTTGGCTTGAGGCATTTCAATTGTCTTGTGATTAGGTCATTGATCTTTGACTATGTTAAAGGCACTTCAATGCAAGGCTATCGACGACATTGTTGGGTTTAAGTTGACTAATCATGTAGGCATGTGAATGTACATCGAGGAATCTTTAACCTTCAAACTATTTGGGAAAATACCCTATCATATAATTAAGAATCTCTGACCAGAGTATGAATAAGATTTAGGAAGTACGTTCTAAATCACATTCAAGGTAATCATATAGAAAAGAAAATCACATTGGATAGTAGACATGAATAAACTATCAACCAAATAATATGCTCAAGAGTATTGCTATAAAGAAGGACTGTATTTCATTGTAATCCCAAACAGAATAGGTTCTCCAACCTCTTCTGCTTAGCTTGGGTAGCCATGACATATTGCTAGGTGTTACTCATGGTTTGTTAAAACCCTGAAGATTAATAATTACTAAAGGGAGAATTGAAAGTAAGTTTCAATTCACAATTGATTTGTCTACTGCCTCATTGAAAAGAACCTAATGGATCACACACCTTGTAAGGTAATGATTAAAGAATATAGCGGAATTAACTAGGATTAATTAATATGTTAACTAATCAAATGAATAAATTCGTTTTAGACCTTGAGTTAGTTTTGGGCCTCAAGGCCCAGTGGTTATTGAATACTCAAACTTATTAACTTAAGTTGTATTACAACTGAAATCACAAAAGGACACAATGGCCCACTAATTAAGTAAGGCCAGCTATAGAGGAAAATGGTTTCTTTGAGGAAAGATGAGAGTGGCATTGGTGAATGAAACAATCAAATCAAGTGGGTTGTATTGATAATTCGTAGAACATGGGCGCCACACCATTGGTTGTTTGGTGACAGTGAAAATCTGGGTGTGTTATTAGAATATTACTCAAACACCAAAAAATAATATTTAATTTTTGAAATAAATTAAATGGTTTTTTTTTATAAAGAATAAAAGAAAATAGTTGAGAGAGTAGAGGTAATAGTAGTTAGTACGTATTGACAAAAAAGGTTGAGCATGTAGGATGGGTCACCGGAAGAAGCTGTCGTGACTGTGAGAGAAGCTAAATGAGTTTATGAGGACTTGAGAAAAATGGCTAAATTGAGAGATATGGGCAGAAGCCGAGTGGCCGGTGGAAAAAAAAAAAATTAAAACAATCTGAATGCTAAGATGCTATTACTATTACAGTGCATTTGTTGCATCAGACTATCTTGGATTGGATTAATTTTAGGGACTAAATTGAACTGGATTAGAATGGACTAAGTAGTACTAGAATTGTGAAACATTTGGTGCTGGACTAGCTAGGATTAAATTTTTTATTTTTTATTTTATTTTTAATTATAAAAACTTCCCACTTTGTTGTCTAAAAAACTAGAATACATCTAGGGATGCCAATTCTAACCGTTAAATCCGATAACCGTGGATAACCACCCGAGTAGATGGATTTGGGTATGAAAATTCGGGTATATTTTGGGTATGGGGAAAAACCATGAATATTATTTGGTTATGGTTTTGGATATGATTATAGAGGTCCTCAATCCATATCCGTACCTGAATCCAAACCGAATAATATATAATATAATTATATGT